AAATAAATTATTTAAAAAACGATGTTAGAAATAAATTCAATAAATTATTAAATTGTAGAATAAATATAATTACAACAAAATTTATATTGATAAAATTCTATTTAATTTATACAATTCTGTTTTTCATACAAAAATAAATTGCTTTGTTTTGTATTTTACGAATATTAATGTACACGCTTTTGATTTTATAAGCTGATAATTTTTGATTGCAAGCCTAAATATTTATCAGTTTTTTAACATTAAGAACTTAATTTTTGTAATTTCGATTCAATAAAATTGTGTGTAGTGTAAATTGTATGGGACTTCAAAAAATATGTTTTGTACTTAAACTCGAGGGCTGGTAAATGGTAATACTTAGGGTATAATATAATATCCTTACATCGTAGTATATACTAATGATACTCGATGGTCACTAAAGTTGTTTTAATAGCCATCACTCATTCCATCATCGCAACTATTACAAACAAATAAATAACTTGTGTAGATAATTTATATATAACTGTAGTATGTGTTTGTGATATAAAATACACGGACATCCTTTTAAAGCCTTTTCTTTATGATATAATATGCCGCTTACAAGGATTTATTAATTTTATAAGTGGTGAGATAATTCAATTTCCATTATTTTGTCGTTATGAATTTTCATGACATATTTTCTGCCCTGCAAGCCCAGCCGGTATATGTACAAGACTCTTTTAATCTCGGCAGTTCCGAGTCCGTCGGCCGTCACTTTGTCGTATTATGTGACAAGCACTAAGCCTGCTATCGTCTTACCCAAGTAAATAACCCAACTATGATTTAATTTAGCCACCGCTGCAGCTTATGAGGGGGGGGCGTACACAAATTGTGTCATACACACATCTTAAGAAAAGACAATAATTTGATTATAAATATAAAACTTAAGATTATCAACCAGGAGAGTTTGAATTTTGAATTTCGACAAAATCATGAAAATTTGAAGATTATTTTGAGTTTGAAATTCAAAAAAATGTTTCTTTTCATATCGAAGATTTGAAAATTGAATAAAAAAATTCTTCATAAGTTTTTCTACATTTATCAATAAAAAAATGTCTATTGGAAAGTCAAATTAAATTTTTTTTTTTTTTGTAAGTGGCTTAACGTGGCGCGTTGGCTTCGGCCACAGCAGCTACCTAGCTCCCGGATGGGTGACATAGTAGTTAAAATCTTGCCACACATACACGTGTTTGCACGAAATATTAAAAACACATAGGCATGGTTTTTTTATAAGCATTTATTGTTCAAGTTTAAAAAAGTACGAATTATTTTGTAGCTGCATATTCATAAAATGCTTAACTTTTATAGCTAAGGATCAAAAATCTAAAACAAAGTCGCACACCAGTAGTTAATGCTGTAACCGAAAAAATCTAAAAAATATATAAACACAGTTTTTTTTATAATTATTTTATGTTCAAATTTGGACGAAATTAGATATTATTAAATAACCAAGAATAATGATTTAAGATACCTAATTTATTTTGTTGGAATTTAAAAATATTGTTCGTGGGTACCTACTTGAAACGTTTGGAGTAAGTACATCATTATATTTTATACACACAATGACTTTTCAAATGTAATTTTTTGGCAAAAATGAATTTAACCTACAGTAGTACTAATACTTAATAGCAAAACAAATTACTTTAATCGCAATAACATCATCAAATATACTAAATCACTAAGTAATCGTATAGGCTATATAGACCGTCTTCGCGCTCAGAAACGTTTTTCGTATACAATGATTTTATATCATTGAATTCAAATTTAATACCATCCATGTAATACATTGCAGTGACCCACTTGTGACCTACTATACAGCAGAGAGACATATTTTTATCCGTTTTTTTTTTTTGTTAATTTCATCGGATTATTCTGAAAAGTATTATAGTACAATTTTCTGCTAGTAACCGCGCTAAACGTTGAAAATCGATATGTTTTTAGTTTTTACTGCTCCAATTTGTGATGACGGAAAATAAAATCAAAAATCAAAAAATATCTTATAAAACAAATCGTTTTAAAATCAATACATTTTCATCGGTCCGCTAAGAATTCGAAACAGTAAGAGCTGTAAGTCTTTTTGAAATATTATGTTGTCGGTACGGGGTTTGAATCCGTTTTAAAAAATTATATTTTAAAATGTCATAGCGGCTGCACGTTCTATTGTGCGATAAATTATATATATATATAGTAAACAGATGACGTATAATTTAATCACATGCGAAACTGCACGTCACATAGCTGCGAGTGTCAACTCGAGCACGCATATATATTATATATTATATGCATTTCATAATTCGCACGTTTTCGAGGAACGTCTACCGCAGACACGATTTTCGCAGTCGACACGCGCATTTATCTCAATAAACAGAGTGAACACTATTCGTTTCGAAAATTACCATTTCCGGCCCATCATTAGGTATATATATATATATTACGTCTCGTCCTTACATCCGACAACGCTTGCGACGACATATTATATTACGTTGCAGGAGATATATTGTGTCTCCTACGGATACCGATCAAATTATTCTATAAAATAGATAATATTATTCTGCATAACATAAACCGTAAACCGACGTGGTTACGTTATCACCATATGCGAATGGAAAGTAGACGTCATTTGGAAATATTAAATATTATGGCGTCCATCTGTCTTGGTCCGGTGAGTTTCGGTGATCGCATCTCGTTTTATCGGCGTTTTAACGACCAAAGTCGAACATTTAAGCACGCGTTAATTGATAATGATTAACAACACACTATACTTCAGAATATTATTATCTCGTTCGTCTCATCGGACTACGTTTCCGTCGATAACAAACATTTTTTTTTTTTGTGGTATTCGACTGTCGAGATTCTCGGTAGATTGATGATGAGTGAAAAACATGTTTGTCTTTAAAATTGATCGGTATTTTTTTTTCACGAGGAAATTAAATAATTTATACATCTACATAATATCTGTCTGCGTTACAGTTGGTTACAGAAATATGCCATACTTAATTGTCTTATGAATATCAAAATCCCCACTACGGGTACCCACTGCTAATATAATTCATCCAACGTAGGTCCACTTAGTAAATTAATTAAAACGAAACAGAATAGTTCCAATTACGACGGGAACTCAATAACACTTGATATTCATAATAACAATAAGGGTATTAACAAAATATTATAATTGAGTGTTAACCAGGGTTGAATAAAGCAATTTTAAGAATACCCACTTGCAGTGTTTATGTGAGTAAGACGAGATTTAACTAGGGAAAATCACGTTTGCGTGATATATATTAGCATAATTAATTATAATAATATGTGTTTGATGTATTTTGTAGTCCGCTTAATCGCCCATCATAAAATGTGTTTTGGCGAGATAAATCAATAATCGATTGTTGATAATTAATTTTTAATGGTAAACCGTCATCGTTATTTTCACTCTGTTGAAAAAGAAATTTAAGTGCTTTATATTAAATTTGTATATTATATATACTGCGGTCTAGATAACGTTCTATTGCCCATAAAGAATATTTATTGCTTATACTTGCAAGCGTCGAATGAAATAATAGCTTATTGTTTTTTTTTTTTGAGACTCCTAATTAAAACGAAAACCAATAGGTACACCAACCAAATCTAATATTATGCGGAAATGGCTTCGATTGATTTTGCGGTTTCTGATTCTGAGATTTACGAGTGTTAAAAATGACACAGTAAGTCTTACACAATATGTAATAGATATTAGTCCTATATTATTTACTGATGGACTTCGGTCGCCATCATCGATTGCATTTTGAAAATTGAATGAAAAAAGTATGGAAGAAAAATGTTGGATACATTAAGTACTGGAGAAAAAAAAAGTTCAATAACCACGATAGTCATCGATACTTTCACATTTTTTTACATTGGAAATGTAGATATATGTGTATAAAAAAAATTGTATTTTATAGATAAATATAATATTTTATACCATGGCCTATTTTGTATAAAAAAAATATATAATATATATTGTATAATATTGTAAACAGCATAATATGTGATGTGTCAAAATAACGTTGTTTTTTAGTAAATTGTAAATAACAGTAGTTATACTTAACAAACCAGTAATTATCGCGATGATATTATTTTTTTGTGTTTGACTATCGTTAATATACATATTATACATATTATAGTGTTCTATACAACCATAATCCAGTGATAATATCTAGTGAGCTTAGTTAATATTTTTTTAGATCTCGATGAGTAGCTGATAAATATATCATTGGTAATTTATTACTTTGAGACAAAAGCATTCAAATCGTACCATGCCTTATCAATGATCCATTCTAATCGTTATCATTGTCCTTAAAATAAATTTATTATTTAGTTTATAACATATTATAATGTATACATTTAAAATACATATTAAAAAAACAATGTCATCATCAATTTAAATAAATAACAGTCGTGTTCAATAGCTTTATATTCTATTAAAATATATATTAATAATTTTATCAAATTTCACTTATCACTTATCAGATTTTACCTATATGGTCAGATAACATGGATAACGGTGCAAAGGTGGACCTCGGAGAATTGCAGCTCGCTCTAGGATGCAACTCCAGTATAGTCAGTTGCACATCAAGTACACATCATCAATTATATTATCATTAGAGGTCATCGATATTATGATCAATATTAAGTACATCATTAATGTATCACTATTACTTTTAAATCATATACATTTGTATATCTATACATTGTGTCTAATTATTTATGTTTACGTTTGCTTACATATTGTAAACTATGATCAAATCATTCTACTAAGCTGTTACTATACCATTGTTATCATACAGTAATACCTATGACAATAAACAATTATCGACTATTTCTAATGTCTTGTAAAAAAAATATTTGCGTACCATACAATAGCGTCTGTAACGTACTTGCACATTTCGATACTGTTTCTTAAAATTAAATAAATGTATGGTTAGGTAGAACCAAAAAAAAAACAAAGTAAATTGCGGAAAAGGTTGATATTTTATTTTGTAATGTCAATCATGATATTGATTAGATACATGTATTGTTTGGGCTATGGCATTTTTGAGTTTGCAATGGATGAGTTACATGTTGAATTAACAGCTCTGAAACAAAATAAATAAACACAGTGTAAAATAAAGATCGAACACAACGGTGTGTAATGATTTTAATGTGTTTAGGTTATAACTTATAACTGTTAAAGGTTATATCATCGTATTTTTCTGTGGTGCATTTCCCTGGCATATCATAAGTCAATACCGAAAAAAAAAACAATTTTATGATCAACGATCATTATAATATTTATGGAAAACAATAATATTATACTGTTACACAAGAAATTAGATGAGACTTTATGTTTTTATCATTTCCATCGATCGTTTTTCAATATTAATGATAGTATTATTTGTGAATTAAAAATTGATGTATAAAACGATTACCTAAAAAAAAATGTGATAAATTAATTTTAATGATTATCACGGAATATAAACGATTAGATGAGTTTTCGGGTCTCTAATTACATTCCAAATATATAAGAGAGTTAATAATATGAGTAATTAGGGGAAAAGAAAAAAAATATATATATAAATGAAGTTGCGCGTATATAATATATCGTATATACTGAAAATAAGAGAAAAAAAATTAATAACTATTGAATACATACGAAGAGAGATCATTAAGTGAACAGCGAAATACATCCACATTATTTATAGAATTTCCTGTAATAGCCATTAAAATATTAGGAGGGGAGAGTGACACATATTTGGTCTATACGTCTAGTGGATAGAAACGTTATTTGTAATATATATATACATAAACATATTGAACCCTTCGAATTTTGAATGGATATTATAAAAATATACTTATGCGGTCAGGCAGAGTATAATATGTGTGTATGCATATTACGTATATTATACTGCATATAGAGCTAATAACTCACCATCAATTCGCTGGTGGCTGGGGCGGCTTTGGCGACCGATTTGATGGCCTTGGCAGATTGGACTTGTCCGACGACAACGATGTTCATGGATACCTTTTCTGCGCCCATTTTTGGTTTTGGTTGGTTTTCGTGGAGTGAAATGGAGTAAAGACTGCAACGACAGAAAAAAACAAAAAAAAAAAAAAAATCAAAACCGACGCTCAAATAGTTTCGAACGAAAACAAAACACGACAACACTGTCGTTATTGTTTCGCGGGCAGAGGTACTCACCAAAGAATAGACTTGCACAAAAAATGTGTTATGCCGGAATCGAGGAATCCGACTACTATTTATACCGCTGATTAGAGTCGGGCGGCATGGCGTGATCGCACAACGCTGAACGTTCGTTGGTCGTCGACGGAGTGGCGCCACGTCCTTGCTCGGTGTACCTGAATAATTATTGTTATTAGGTTTACGCCGTTATTGATATTATTATTATTGTTACAATTGCTACACATTACGATGGACTGGGTAGGTAAACGTACAAACAATGATACGCTCGTCCGTGTAAACTCTGCCCGAGTGGAATATGCATATTGTTGTGTGTTTTACAGTAACATTATGCACAATAACACTGCGGAACAACACAAATTGCTCAGGACACAATAATATTATTGTTACATGTATAGTACATAGGTGATAGGAGACTTTTACGACGGTTGTATGTCCATTATTAAGTCGAATACGACGTGACAGTATTCATAGGCAATTTTGAAGTGTTAAATAATTAATATAGAAACGAGAAATGACATTAGCAAGAATAAGTATAGTCTATGTACCCATAATTTAATTAATATTGTAATAACTATTATATTGCAATACAATAAAAGATTTGCGCATAAATTCGCCTCATTATCATAATATAACGTTGGTATATTTAAGCCCTTAAGAAAATAATTGTTGAGCTAAAATGGTTTTATACCAGCAGCTAATAAAAAAAAAAAAAAACGTTGGTATATCGTTACGGAAAATAATGGTAGGTATAACAATCGTAAGTCGCAATCGCGTGGATCCAGGAACATTGTTTGATCAAAATCGTTAGGAATCGTGTTCCCAAAAAAGTCAAACTTACGGAATCGTGCATTTCCGGGATCCAGAGATGGGGTGGTCTAACGGACTGCAGCCGCCCACTTTTGACGTACCCAATCCAAAAGATTTCCAAGACTAAATCGACGGCGGGTGGAGGTTGAATTTGGTCAATAGAAAACTTATCAACTGCATTTATTTTTGTTGCTGTTAAATTTGCACGATTTTGAAAATACGTTATTACCCAACACCCAAATATCGTAATATATATTGATTAATATGTATAAAAATGAACCCACACAATCAAAAAATCAAATTTCTCGATTCGTGCAGGCGGTTAAATTAACATAGTGGAGTTATAGTATATTTTGTAGACGACAATATTATGATTTACATTACATCTCAAGTCATGTTTCCGATTCCGTTAAAATCGTTTTCAATTCTTCTTTTATATTCAGGTTGATAGAGATAAAAAGATTCAACTCACCTCACAACACACATTCATTGTTTTCTATCAATATAATATAATAATTCTCTCAAACTTTGAAATTGAGCAGCCGCAAGTTGTTATTATAAATAAATAATTATTATGCATAAAAAATAATTTTTATCGAATGACTGTCACACATATTATATAATTTGATTATTACAATTGTATTCCAATAATATTATGTACTTATAATTTATATATATCAAATAATTAAACCATGCCCTAAATCCTAGAGTAATTATAAGTATAAATGGTACTTCTAACAATATTTCAACATCAAATTTAATTAAATTCAAAGGTGTTATTCTTGAGTTCTCTTCTCCTGGGAAAACTTTCATCAATACGTCAAATTCATGACCAAACAAAATAAATATTTTTAAAATCAATTCATATACTAGCTTAAATGAATACTTAAGATAAAGCCGACCAATTCTGACCAATCTATTATAGTAGAATGTACACTGTTTTACTTTAGATGATAATATATTTTACAAGTATGTGCAACGTAAATATCATTATTGTTATTATTAATATTGAGAGTTACATTTTGCATTTAAAGTCACCGTTTGTAGTAAACAGTATTATTCAGGCACTCGGTATGTAGGGTGTAGGGGCCGATTTAAAAATTGGGTAAATAGTCCCATTGATTACATAGTACCAAAGTTAGGTAAAATAAAGTTATAAACGTTAAGTACCAAGTACGTAATAAGCTAATAATATTAACAAACAATGTATTCAAAAGCGTAAAGTCAATACAGAGAAAAATACTAAAAAGTATTAAAATAACTAAATTGTATTTAAAAGATGTTGATTAATTTTTTTTTCCACCTGTTGGATCAACTATAATAATTGAGCAAACTTTCAATTTTTTAAATAATAACGATTAACGATAAACATTTTGTTGTCCTACTATGCCCTCTAATATTGCACTATTAACTGTAATTATTTAGGCGATTGCATTGCGTTTGTGTTTACTTAATTACTAAATCAAGGATTAAGCATTTCTTATTTTTATTCAAAGTCATTGTATACACCGTGATTAAAGAACAAATAATATTAATTAATTTGAACTAAGTACCCACGGCTATAGATACGTATAAACATGTTATTTTTGAAATTCACTAGAAAAAGCTAAGTTGACGCCATAGACATATTAGCGAGTTATACGATCGTAAGTTGATAAGAAAATCAACTACTTGGTCAAGTTTACATTAAAATTACCTTTTTAACTTAAAATAATTTTACCTTTTTAACTAGTTAATGCTCGCCCTTGTATACACACAGTTAAAATAAAATCTCATAGATAGGTAGTATTATCATATTCCGATTTCATAACGACAGAATTTAAAAATTAAATATTATTGAATATTATTGAATATTTTCCGATTTCTTAACAGAAAATATCAAACCGTGCGTTGTTGTACTCAATTATTCGTAAGTAATGTACCAACGACATTTATTTTAGAATTTTCAAATTTTGTGGGTACAATATTGAGTTTGTTATAAGTCTTGATAATAAATTAATATAATTTACTGGTAGGTAAACAGCGTAATTTCATCATTAACACGCAACAGAACTGATCCGCAAAAGCGTTGTTGGCCCATTCTCGGACGAAACTACGTCTTAAGTCTACAGCCGGGTCCCATAGATAGGAGTGATGTGTTAGTAGGATTCCTCTACAATATCTTATGAAATAAATTGTTCGAGATAAACCTATTTGAATAATATTATTGTCGTTCATATTTAAAATTAGTAATTTCATCGAAACACCCGTGTACTATACTTATTAGTTATTATAAAATATAATTTGGTTATAGGCATCGTCCATTTCATGTAATTTCTTATAAATTTACGATACGGATGATATTATTATTTCACTGTCTGTATATTCACTTTATTAAAAATATCGATTCACTAAGTGGTTGTGACATATGCGATATTATACATAGTGAAAATAAAGGAATTTTGACGTAGTACATTATACTTACTAAAATCCACAAGTGCATACCAAACAATATTTCTATACTCTATGGATATAGGTTCTGGTATAGTATACCAGGTGATCTATTTAACGGAAGATACTCATTATTTAAAAAAGTATTAACGTTTTTGAAAAAAAAAATGTGCATATGGTTGGTAGTCTTTAAAAACAAATTTAAACATATGTATATATACAATTTTTATATTTTAGATTCCGAGGTAACATTTTCAAAATATTTTGACTCGTTTTAGCTGTTGACGGACATTTTCAACTTTCATTTTTTTCATTTTTATTCCATCATTGTTTATAAAATTTTATTGGTTCTGTCAAAAATCATGGCAATTTAATACAAGACACTTGATAACTTGTTATGATAGCAGTTGAAAAATATTAAAAATACATAGGCATGGTTTTTTTTTAAGCATTTATAGTTCAAATTTTGACAGTATATTTTATCAAATTGAAAATTAAAAATGATTTTGTAGTCAAAAATGTATAAAATGTTCAATTTTTATAGCTAAGGGTTAAAAATTTAAAAAAGGTTCCACTTGAGCAGTTTTTTCAGTAATTAAGAAATCTAAGAAATATTTGAACACAGTTATTTTTTCCAGACATTTTAAGTTCAAATTTGGACAAAATCGCATAATAACACAAAGAATAACGTTTATCATTTTGTTGTTACACGGTTCCAACACTGCCCAATTTTACATAGTTGTATTTAATATTTTTCTAGCATCACTGATAATTTAAGAATAATATTAATTCAACTTATCGTCTACCATATTAATAAAAAGTAATAACAATATAAAATATCCTAGATTGACATACCGTCTCCGCTCGTTTTTCGTATACAATGACGTGGCATCATTAAATTCAAATTTAATACCATCCATTACAGCTATCTTAGACACCTAATGTACAGCCGAGTTTTTATCTTTACAATTGTTTAAGTTTTTACTACATATAGTTTTAGTCTCAAATCATCGTTTGGGTCCACGTGTCAATGGTACGACATTATATTCCTTCACTGGTGATAAGAATAACCAAAAAAAAAAAAAAATTAGAACAATGGACTTTTATGATCTAAACATTTCTTTTTGCAATTTTGAAATAACGTGTATAATATTAATATGTGCATCGTACAGGTTTATTACAACCCATAAGTAATTTATTAAGCTTCATGCAGAATCATATATAGAGGCGTAAGTGTGGGGCTTTGGATTTCTGAGGCTTGAGTTTCAATTAAAATTATTTTCCATGCACTAGTAGCCTTTATTCGGGATATTTTTTCATCATCCCTCCACGGCCACACTCACACATACAAAAAGGTCCCCTAAACCAGTTTCTTGTATGTCATATGAATATTTTTTTAGTCTAAAGTTATTATGATGTTACGACTTATGGTACTATATTATAATGAAGCATACATCGACGTATAATAAATGTTTGTTTTTAATGAACACAATTTAAAATTGTAACAATTATGTGATACGCGATTTCAAAAAAGTTTACAATAAAATTGGTCGGTTTCGTTGAAATTAAACGAGTAAAATTCACGTGATCGCGTGCCTTATCTTGCCACAATAATAATATCACTAAAATCACGCCACAACTCCCCACTTCTGTCGGCCGCCTCGAATTTATGTATAAAAAGCGTCCGGCTCTTCGATTCTGGCATAACACATTTTTTGTGCAAATCTATTCTTTGGTGAGTACTGATAACAATTATTTTCATTGTTCAATATTCATATTGTACATAATAAACGTTTTTATATTAGACTACGTAGACCAACACTTATTCGTTTGTTTTATTTTCGTTGCAGTCTTTACTCTATTTCACTCCACGAAAACCAACCAAAACCAAAAATGGGCGCAGAAAAGGTATCCATGAACATCGTTGTCGTCGGACAAGTCCAATCTGCCAAGGCCATCAAATCGGTCGCCAAAGCCGCCCCAGCCACCAGCCAATTGATGG